ATTCCTGCTCCCTCGGAGGAGGACAGACAGACGGACAACACAGCCTTCAGCTCAAGGTGCCCAAAAGATGGTGAGAGATGCAGCTGGTGTGGGGCCACATCACCATGGGCTGGGGCCACCAGCTGGCACCATCATGGGGCTCTGCAGCAGGAGCACAGCCCTTCCAGCTCAGCCTCTGCACCCGTGTGAGTCATCGTCCTCCACTACTTCATGACCTTGACCACGGCCCTTGAAGCCTCAGCTTCTTTCTCCACCCTTCCTCTATGGACTATGAACACTTCCAGGTCACAGCTACCTTTAGTGAGCATCTACACAGCATCCAACTCGGTGAAGTATGGTTTTATCTGAGGTTTCTGGGCGTTACCACAACACAGGGAACACACTCCCCTCTCTGCAAGATGTGTCAGCCCTGTCCAAGCAGCCCAGGATCGCATCCAGCCCCACAGCAAGCTCCAGCTCCAACTACACACAGCTTTTTGTGTAACAAAAATACCACCCAAACCAGAACATGGAAATCCTCTGCCATCCCAGAGGGGGATCTGCGTGGATCTCCCCAGATAAGCAAATTTAAACCACCACCAAAACCGACCTTTGATTAGTGGCCATGGAGTCCATTCATAGCGACAGCACGTCAGGTCAATGTTCACTCCCAAAATCAACTGTCTGCCTCGGGAAAGGGATTTTTTTATTTTCATTTGATGGTCTGCATTTGAGGTCTCGTTAATAAACAGTGTGCTTGGGTGTGCCATCTGGCTGGCCATAGAGCGTGCCTAAGAATAATACCAATCATCATCACACGGTGGTGCTTTAAAAGCCAGTTTTACAAAAGCCTGGGCAAGCTGATTGAAAGCTATCAGGCGTGTTTTGTGAGCCCCGAGAGCTCAGCCTCGGGCAGTCTCTGCCTCCCGAATCAGCTGTCAGAAAGGGTCAGAGTCCAAAATTACGCTGCAGTTTTACTTGGAGACTCATCTGAACACTGGCCACTTTTTTTTTCTTAAGCAAGAATTAACTTGTGCAAGTTAAGAGTCGGGCTGGTGCTTTAAAAAAATAATTAAATATATTCTATAGTTTACAGTATTTTTAATGTCAAAGAAACCAAAGCTGGTTGGTGGTGCTGGGCCGCGCTTGGGTGCCTCATCCCAAGCAGGGACTGCCCGGAGGGACACGCACCGCTCCTCCAGGGACTCGGCAGCAGGCAGACATCAAACCCTGAGCTCCAGACCCAAACAGAGCCAAACATCTCATTCCTGGATTCACACACACATCTCCTTGCAACGCAGAGGAGGCTCTCCTGCTCCATGCTCCTGCCCCGCCAGATTTCACATCCCACTTCATTTTCCCCTACACGTCGCTATGCTCGAGGCTGCCCATCTCACAGCCGTCCTGACGCCCCCAGCCCCACAACACAGACAACTGACCTAATTTCTCTGTTTTTAGACATCCAGAGGTCATTGCCGTCTGCAGCAAACCCCACTGAGCAGGGAAGAGAAACACAGAGCCATCTCTGTTAGCATCAGCCCTCCTGCCCAAGTCTTCCTCCAAACCTTGCCCTGTGCTGCCTCCTCTAAATGCCTGAGGACCCACATCTCCCACACCCCTCAAGGCTGAACAGTGGTGCTGAAGAGAAGGTAGGGAGGTCCCCTGCCATTTCTGGGCCCATACACGTCAGGGCTGGGCACAGCAGCTCACCACGTGCATGAGCTCCACCTCATTCTCCTTCACGACTCGGAGCATCTCACCTGGAGCTCCCAAGGGCGTTTCCTGGCTCGCTCCACACAGCAGAGACATGGGGAGACATCACCAACGTTGTGCTTTGCCCGGTGACTCAGTCGGGGCGCAAGCGCTCCCTCCCAGTTAACCCAGTCGCTCCAGCAGCGCCTCCCTCCTCTCCCAGCCCTCAGAGATAAGATTTGCCCCATCTGCCTTTCTGCCTGATTTGCCTTTCCAGTGGATCTGACCAAGCTCAGATTTTCTAGTCTGTGGCAAACCCTGATGTTTCCAGTCACATCCTCCTGTACCTTAAACAACCACTCAAAAAAAAAGTGAAAAAACTCTACACTCTCCACCCCCAAAAATCACCTTTTTTAGTAAGAAGGTCACTCCAGTCACCTGGAGCATTGCTTTTAAGTTCTGGGTTTGCAGAGCTTATGCAAGCATAAAAATGCAGCATTGAACCAAAAAGGAAGGACACCAACAGAGGGGTTTTGAGTGTTTGGGGAAAAAAAAAAGTATAAAATAATTGCAAGCAGCACGTCCCTGCAGAACATCTCGGTTCTGACTCAGCCCCAGCCGTGGCAGCAAAGCGCAGGTGTTCACCGCGCGCTGGGCCTGCACCAAACCCTGAAAGACACCGAGGCTGATGCCAGCGCAAGGCAACCAGGGCAGAACCCATTGCACCCACACGAGGCATCGCTTCCCTGGAGAGGGGTCGGGGGCTCTGGCCTTTGCTGCTGACTTTCTAGTGCCCAGCAAGGCTGGAAGTTGGTGCAGGGTGGTTTGATTGGGGGGGTCTCCTTCAAGGAGAGACTCTGCACTTCACTGCCCTGCAAGCACAGGGGACTCAAAGAGATAAAGGGATAAAGTGAAATCCTCAACTCAGCAATGAATCTCTAATGACTAACGGAGCAGTGGAAGCTGGAGAAAAAATATAATTGCATGGTGGCTCTTAAAAAGCAAAACGTGAGGGTGGGTGAGGTGAAATGAAGAGGAACCCATTCATTATAGAAGAGCTCAAAGCATCAGCTACAGTGACTTTCTTGACGCAGCAAAGGAGAGGGGGCAGCGGGGTTAAACACCAGGCGAGGCAGGAGCCGACGCTGCTGTGGGGTGATGCTCGGCAAGGGCACAGCACAAAGCTTGGCCTGCCACTAGAGAAACAACCAGCCCTGTGGAAAACAAACCTCTCCACGCTCAAGCGTGAAGGCAGCCCCGTCCAACAGGGACTAATGGGATGGGCAAGGCATCAGAATAGAGGTTCTGCTTCCCCACGACTCAGAAACGCAAGTTAACTCCCCTGTGGGCTGCTGGGGCTTTTACCACAGCTATGGATATTTTTATAATCCAGCTCTTGAAAGAGAGGAAGAATATGCCTCATGAATTTTTATAAGGCCAGCTTCCTTCCTGCTTTTTCTTTTTTGTTTGTTTGGTTTTTTTTCAATACTAGCACCAGATGACAAGATCCACTCTTGCCTGATCCACATCCCCCATCCCAAAACACCCCCAGATCCCCGCACAGCCCCCCGGGAGGCTCAGCACTGCAATACTCACCGGTCGCACTGGGCGCTGGTGGAGCCTGCAGGGACGGCACCGCTGGCTCCCAGGCTCCGGGTGAAAGCCCCGGGCGCAGCTCTCGCAGCGCAGCCCCGCGTAGCCCTCCAGGCAGGGGCACTGCCCCGTCGTGCCGTTGCATTCGGCCGCGCTGGCGCTCCCCACGGCGCTGCAGTTGCAGAGGACTCCTGCAAAGGGAAAGGAGAGAGGCTGAAACCAGGGGGTGCTGGGTGGGCACGACACCAAGGGAGAGCCCGCTGCCCTCCTTGGCTTACCCCATCATCTCCGTAAGGATGATATTTGCTTTAAAGTGTTCAGATGATTAAAAAAACCATTGGAAGCACTCTAGAGTTTGAACTCACCTAGGAGACTATGGGTATAACTACTTAAATATGTACATATGCAGCTGTATATAATGTCAGTATGGATACACACACACACACACGTATACACCTCATGGTTGTCTGGTTACGCGACTCCAGGAGCTGACAAGTGCTGGCTGCTGTAATATCCGGATGAATAAGCAACAAGTGGCAAAATCACCAATTACAAGATCCGCTGTTTCACACCACTGGGACAGCTCTGATTTAGCAGTGGGCTGGTTGCTGGGACACAGGACATGCAGAGCACATCCATGTGATGAACCAGCACCAGCATCTCCCAGTCTTGGGGAACAGAGACAGAGCCCCCCGACAGGGAGTGAGGGGAGCTCCAGCATATGGGCCATGGCGGGGGTCCCCATTCCCCTGGAAATCTGCCCTTGGAGGGGCACTGACCTCATGGAAAGGGCTTTAAACGCCGGGCTGGTGGAGCTGGGGGCAGGACAGAGACCTCCTGGCTCCCACCCGTCACCACCAAACCCCAAACGGGCACCTTCAGCCCCACGGTGAGCAAGGACAGCCCTGAGAACCCACACGTGTACCTCAGAACACCCCTTATTCACAGGGGCTATGGAAAGCACACACCAAGCTGCTGCTTTTTTAAGAGCGGAGCAGATCTTTTGATCAAGCGATGAATTCCCCCCGCACATTATTTCTCATAATCCTTTAAAGTACCAAAACGCACCGAGGAAAACAACCTCTCCCGGCAATTTGTTTCTGCCAAGAGCTTTATCTCCGATCCTTCATTGCAAAATATTTAGTGCCTTAATAATTTAAAGTTTTCTTCTGCCAAGGGTGAATTATAAACAAGGATTATTTGCAGAAATAGTGCATAAAGCATCAGGGGATTTGCGCAACTGCTGGTATTTGTTATTCTGTAAGAAAAGCCAGCATTCAGGGCTCCTCATGGAGATAGAAGAGGGCACGTCCCCATCCCAAGAAAACTTGAGTTAAACACTTTACTTTTCATCTGTTTTCTTCCAGCACACAAAGAAATAGGAGTTATTTAGCTTTGTTACCCTGTCAATACATGCACGGTATCCCCAAGAATTCATTTTGTACCTGTGCACCTGTGAAACTGCACCTGAATTTCTTCAATCTGAACCAGCAAATAGGACAAACACCTCAAGATCTGCAATTATCCACTTCAGCAGCCACTCCACATAATGAGCCAAATTCCCATCTCCATTACCCAAGTGGAACCTTATCGATTTGGGCACTTGGACCGCCACCAGCCAACGGGAGCCACGAGAACTTGTTGAGCAAAGGCACTGTGGAGTTTGTCAAACACGCATCAAAACAAATTTACCTTCCAAAGCTCATTGCATGCAGCACCATTAGACCTGATAGACTTGACTAAGAAAAGAAAACAAGCGTTGTATCAGCTCTAACAGCGATGGGAAGTGCTGAGGGCAAGTCCAGCGCAGCAGCGATGAGCTGCTCTGCACAGACCCCCTCGTGCTGCAGGAGCATCACTGAGTCCATCCCAGTGCTCCAGCAGCACGGGCCGAGAGCTGAACTTCTTCAGCTGGAAAGCAATGGGTGCTGCAAGTCAAATTCCCATCCAAAACACTGCCACGATGGGCAGGAGGATCCTCCACGCCAATGGGGACCATTCATAAGCGCTGCCTCGCTCCATCCAAAGCGGCACAGATGGACACGAGTCACCAGGAGCTGTCAGAGCCCACAAGGACACTGGCACAGCCAATACCTGGGCACACTTATGTAAAAATAAAACAGCCTCAGCCACCACAAGAGCCTGAAAGACCCTTAGTGAGATCGGGCTGTGCCACAGCAGATTTATGAACTCGGTTCTGTGGCCATGCTTGCAGTAGGGGAAAAAGGAGAGCTGTTCCCAAATATATTACACTGCAGGGAGAGCTATTTTGACAGCTCCAAGAAAATCAGCCATGGCACGAAAGCTAAAAACAGAAGTCAAAGAAGAGGGGCTGCACGTATGGGCAAGAGCCTTATGTTTCTCTTGCCCAGAGAAACTTCTTCAGCACTTCTGCAGCAGAAGTGTCTGGCCATCACCAAACCGGGGTGCAGCTCGCTGGGAACATCCTCGCTGCTTACAGGACCCCACATGTGCTGGGGGCAGTGGGAGGTGAGCACAGGATCCAGCCAGGCCCCGCTGCCTTATCTGGGGGATGCAAACACCAATGGCCTCGCTGGAAAATGCAGCTGCCTTTGGGCTGATCTTAGCAATGGCACCAACCACCAAACTGGGCTTTCTTTCCAACGACAGGGCTGTTTGCTTTCCAAACACAGAGAAACTTCCCAAAGCTTTTTTCCCCACCCTGCAGGTCTTTGCCCAGCAAAATTGCCCCAAGTCAGGTCAAAACCTGGAGGCGGCTCAGCCTCAGCAGCCGAACTCAGCGGCAATGCAGACACCACCAGCTCTGCATACTCCTGTTCCCCTGGAGAGAGAGAAATGCTGCAATAATCCAAAATAACCCAGGCAAGAAGCAGCTTTTTGTTTGCGGGCTGGCGGAGCG